CCTTTTGAGCTTGACAGAGTAGATGGAGCTCTGCTTGAACATGTTGGGGCTTGGTGGAGTCCAGCTGTATACTCTCAGCAGTAGCATCAAGTAAAGCTGTCCAGGTGCTAAACTGGGAATAGTCAGATTTTAATAAGCTGTCAGACTGCTGGACATGTCCACAGAACATGGATTTTCTCAGTTCTGGCACTGCTTCATTGGAAGGAAAAACTGGAGACTTTGGCCACTGATCTGTGGGTAAGTACAGGAAAGATGGCCCTGAGAACCAGCGACTGGTATTGATGAGTTCTATCAACTTCTTGCCCCTTGTGATGTCATCGGCAGCATTATTGTTGGTATCCACATACCTCCACTGTTCAGGCTGAGTGTGCTCAAGGATTTCTGTGATGCGGTTTGCCACAAAGACGGTATATCTACAGTTGTCAGAGCAAATCCAGGTCAGAACGGTGGTGGAATCGGACCAAAGCATGACATCATTAATGGACAGGGTAAGTTCTCTTTGCAGAAAGTAAGCCAACTGGGACCCGGCTAAAGCCGCACACAATTCAAGACGTGGAATGGATATGGTCTTCTTTGGGGCTATCCTAGAACGGGCCATAACAAAGGAAACGGACACATTTCCATGTCTATCTATGACACGAAGATAGGCAACTGACCCATATGCCTGTTCAGAGGCGTCACAAAACAGGTGAAGCTCTCGAGTGCCAGCCATCTCATCGGTTGCTATTGAGTTATACCACCGGGGAACTTGGATGTTAACTATTCCCGGTAACTCCTCCTCCCATGTGGTCCAAGCCAATCTGATGCCCTCTGGGATATCTGGATCATCCCATTCCCTAGCTGGCTTCATCCACAGTTGTTGGAGCATGACTTTTGCACGAGTGGTGAATGGAATGATAAACCCGAGAGGGTCATACTGCCGGGCAAGAATACGATATAGGATCCGCATGGTGAGGACTGTGTACTCCACTGGGCGGTGTTTGAAGCTCAAGGTGTCATGCAAACAATGCCAGGTAAGTCCAAGAGTCCCCTCACACGGGTCAGAGCAGTCATAACTCAACCATAGCTCAGAATGGACAGACCGTGCTTCAACAGGTAAATGATTGATTACAGAGGCATGGTTCCTGGCCCATTGACGAACTTCGAAACCACCCTCAATCAAAGTGGAGCGCAGTTTGTTGACCATGGCTTTAGCTTCAAGAGCAGAAGGTAGACTTTGTAAGCAGTTGTCCACGTAAAAGGCACTCAGGACTGAAGTCTGAAGATCAGAATGTTCTGCCGCAAGACTCTGAGCATGCCTTTGGAGCACGTGTATGGCACAACATGGACTGCACGTAGTGCCAAAAGGCAAGACCTGCCATTCATGAACTTTAGGGGGGGTATCTCTCTTCATGCTACGCCAAAGAAAGCGTAACAGGGGCCTATCAGTGGGTAGCAAGCGGATTTGATGGAACATTCCTTTAATATCCCCACTGATGGCAACCTGATGCTCTCGGAAACAACGTAAACGTAATCAATGCAACGTAAAGTTGGCAGGGCTGCTTCAGGAGGCGCATGTAATAAGGGGGCATTTTTGACTCTGAGCAAATGAGTGGCATATCTCTGTATTCCATTAATCTCATGGCGCTCTGTTTGTTGCTCTAGGCACTCAAAGGCTTGCTGATCCTGCTTGGACCGGATAACAGCTTTAGGATTCTTAGAATATGGAAATATATCGATCTGCCACAATCGTTCCACATCCCTCTGTAACTGGTCTTTGTCAAGCGAAGTAAGAAGACACCGGGTATCAGAGCTGGATTCCTGCACCAGAGAGGTCGGACCATGCAACGTCCATCCTAAGCAAGTGTGCAGGGCAGCTGGACTTCCAGGGGGGCCAAATCTCACACATTCCGTAGAGCACAAGAGATGAGAATGATCTGCACCCACCAACAGCAATGGTCTGATCTTACGGAACTCCTGCAACGGCAAGCCTTGGAGGTGCTGATAACGTCTCTGCAGAGTGGTGATAGGGTAAGTCTGCTCAGGTAGATCTAGTTGCTTAGCAGTGAAAGCATCTTTGATTTCATATTTCTTCTGCTGTTGGGAAGCTGATTAAATTGAAAATGACACTGTAGCACCCACAATTTTCTCTGTGCCTTGTCTGATTGTGCGCAAGATTAAGGTCTCCGCCGCCCCATAGAGGCCTAAACTCTCCGCAGCAGATGACAGGAGCATGGTTCTTTCTGAACCGTCATCCAGAATGGCATAGGTCTCCAGAGATTTCCCGTTATGAGTCAAGACAACTCTTACCACTTTAAGGAGTACAGAATTGAATCCACTGGGCCTACTCTTTCTGACTAATTGGGATTTGTAACAATGGGATTGAATGAGTGCACTTCAATAGCATCTACTATGGTTTCCATATACAAACACCACTACAAATGACTGTCCCCTCAAACAGTGCCCGATTTAAGTGTATGGGGCGATTTCAGACACAGCAACCATTCCCTTTCGAGGAAACTCAGCACTGCATCATGACGCTGATGTCTGTCCCTTGTGGTTTAGGTCACACGTCTGCTGAGGTGGCATGGCGGCTCAGATCATGGGGGTCACAGATGGAGCTGGCCGTTGAGCTTGAGACGGAAAGAGCAAGCGGGAGCAGTGCTTCTTCTCAAGCGGGCGGAGCCGTTCTTCCCAGACCTCCAGACCTATTAAACAGTTTTATGACTGCTTTAAGCTTATGAGATTTAGGTAGTTATAAAATTACATGTCTTCTCACTGGAACATGCTCTCTCCTTGATTTTGAGAGAAGCACCCAACACATGTTAAAACATAGGCCTATATTTAATCTTCAACAAACTGTAGCATAGAAACTCAGATTGGTGACCTCGGTGGGTCACTTTGTGCCTAATCCAGGATCCTGGTTGTCATTTGTAAAATCAATGGACATATCACAATGTCCATGTGTGAAGAAGTTTATATATGGCTTAACCAATCAAAATTATTCAACCTGAAGTAGCCTAATGAGGAGTTTAGTGACATGTGTTGGAGTATAATTGATGATGTATTGATGATGTACACAAAGTGGCATATAGGAACTCCTTGCTGTTATGATCTTGAAGATGAACTTGGACAGGGTAAGAAGTGACTGAACTAGACTATGACCTGACAAATAACTACGATAAACAAACAGCAAAATAAAGATCAGTACTCGCTCTAAACAAATAGTCCTGACAGGATACTCACACGGCTTCACAAGGTAGGAATCACAATGAACCGACACAGGACAGCAAACACAAGGGGATAAAATAGGGCGAAACTTGATGAGAACAGGTGATGCTGACTAGATAATAATGACAAGACGAGGATAACAAGGGGGCGGGGTTAAGCAACGAGACAACACAAGCACATGGCCCAAACAAAAGGTCATGTGCTTGCACACAAAACATGGGTCTGTTGAAATCCAGCCTCAAGACTGGCGAAAATCAAGGACAAGGAGGCAGAATCATGACACTTGCTGAGTGTTGAAGCTGACTTCTGCTGATGAAACAGCAAACTATTCGTCAGTCAAATTTTCTTCAATTGATTGCATCTCTGACTTCTGCTCTTCATTCATCATATCTGGTACTCGGGTCTTGACTGTAAATTCCCGTACAATATAACAACGGATTAAACAAAGAAAGATTCTTCAGAGAACCTTCCAGAGGCTAAGCTCGTCCATATATAAAAAAAAAACAAAAAAAAACGGAGAAATAAACAAATCCAAAAATACAACATTAATGGAGTTTTTTTAAAAGAAACAAATGATGTCAAATATCCCACTTGTTTATTTTGGAATAACCAAACCATAAAACCTCCCTTTCAGCTGAATTGCATTTAGTTGCACAGTACTTAGACTGCTGTGAAAATGTTGTTTCTCGATTATAGTATTACCGTTTGATAGTGCAATCAAAAAAATATAATGCTCTATTTTATGAGGATACTTTTCCAAATTAGGAAATTTCATTCAGGGTTCCCACGACCAAGCAACGGTGTCGATCATTATGAGATAATCATTGGGTGGCGCATTACCAGTCATTGCCATTAATTCCTGCAGGGGGAGCTCGATGGCTCAGAAAATCAAATCACTTAAATAATATATTTTTTAAAGTATATTCGTTCAAACACATACATATAGTCTATAAGTCAGTACGTGTAATCTCAGTAAATTTCTTAGATAAACGGGTTTATCCAACAAAGAGTTTTGGGTACCACGTGAGTATGGCGACAAATGAATAATACCTACTACTTACTTAGCCTATAATATATTAATTTTCATATTTTCATGTTATCACTGTGAAGCTGCTTTGATACAATCTGTATTGTAAAAAAAAGTGCTATATAAATAAAGGTGACTTAATATTATTTATTAAATAACATGCTTTAAAATTGGTTGATTTTTACACTGCACAGATCATGTATAAAGTATATAATAATATACTTCCAAATTGTATTCAGAGGCTGTTCGAAATGAGAGAAAGTCAGGAAAGGGGAATTTATGTATTAAGAAAAGGGCAAGGGCAAGGGCAATAACTAATTAAAAAAATAGATGTTATAATTGTGATACGGAATTAAAATGTGTATTTTACTTAGTAAATTCAAGAAAATGTGTAAAAACAAGGTGATAAGTAATTGTATAACTCAATATGAATAATTTTTGTTTACACTTAACCTATAATATCTGGAATGTGTACCTTTTTAATTATGTATGTAGGCTAAATTTTGGGAAATATCTTATGTTGGCTAACTGTTTTTGTTTATCTAAATGAATCAAATCCAGTGAGAGAAGTGATCATTGGATAAATAAAGGGTAGGAAATAGGAATTATAAGCAAAGGGTTCAGCCTACCACTTTTTTGTTGTTGAATTGAATAATGATGAGAATTTAAACTGAAATAGAAGAATTTGTGATGAAAACCTTTCGGGCAACAAAGTCAAGCCGATTTTAATTTCTTATCAAATCTGATTGCCATTCTACTTATTATATTTCTGTGGATACGCTACTTGCAGTGTTACGGTTTAAAGTGTTCAACTAGGAACAATGTCCGGAACTATAGTTTTGTGTTGTTCTTTGTTTCCGATCGGTCATGATTTTGAAAAGAACTTTAATTATGGCGACCTTCATGGCACAGGCGTGAAATGTCTCATAATTTCTCTTTACTTGTATAATTACATTTATTTGAGCACATATACACTTTAATAGGTGTTATGGGTGTAATTAGACATGTTGTGTGTGCTATGTCTGGAGGGGTTGACAGTTCTGTCAGTGCATTGTTACTCAAAAGAATGGGTAAGTTTTCAGTGTATTAAAAATAAACCACAATTCTACACATTTTTATTACATTAAATGTACAGTTCACGGAGCACATTATGAACATCATATGAACTCTGTTGTATTTTGTATGTGCTATTATGTTGTGCTTATTTTCAATATTGGATTGTAAGTTAGCAATAATAATAAAGTATTCGGGTTAATAATAAAGTAGACACTTATAAATGTCTGAAAGTAACTATTATTTGTCTGTCATTGAATTAGATAGGAAATATTAAAGCAAGCTGTGTTTATTTTAAAGACATAATAATAAGCTGTTTGTGATTAAAATGATAAAACAATTTATACAGTATTCAAGACGCTTTCTGGTGTCCAAACTAGCATCATATGTTTGCGGATATATGATATCTGTCTGTCTGCCATCAGGCTATCATGTGACTGGTGTGTTCATGAAGAACTGGGACTCTCATGATGAGAAAGGCGTCTGTTCATCTGAGAGAGACTGTGAAGATGCCTATAAAGTGTGTAAGATGCTGGATATGCCTTTCCACCAGGTCTCGTATATTAAAGAATACTGGCATGAAGTATTTAGGTAAATATAGAAGTCGTTTTAAGTTCATTAAATTTAAAATGTTGTGCTCTCAGTTTGTTCATATTCTCTCATTTGTATTCTTTATGTGTGCAGTAATCTTCTCAGGGAATATGAGAAGGGCAGAACACCAAATCCAGACATAATGTGTAACAAACACATCAAGTTTAAGCACTTCTATCAGTATGCAGTTAATACTTTAGGTAAGTTAAGAAGAATTGCTGAAGTCTCAGAATTTTCCTGGAAAAGAGATACAAAATTGGACTGTCATTGTTTAAATAAATATATATATATATGTTACACTATTTATATACTGTATGTATTTATATATATATTGTACTTGTTACATACAAGTACTGTATATTATACAAAATAATTATACATACTACACACACATATATTATGAGTAAACAAACTTTTATTTTGGATGCGATTAATCACGATTAATCGCATCCAAAATAAAAGTTTGTGTTTACATAATATATATGTGTGTGTATTATGAATAATTATTTTTTGTATATATAAATACACACACATGCATGTATACATTTAAGAAAAATGTATTTAAATATAATTATATATAATAATTATATAAAAACTTTTATTTTGGATGCGATTAATCGTTTCTCAGCCATATATATATGTGTGTGTGATGATTTGTGCTTTTTTTTTTTTGCTAACACCAGTCTTTGTTATTCGTGGAACTTTGGTGTCTGTCATATTTAGTCTTATTTGACAACAGGTGCTGATGCCATAGCAACGGGACACTATGCCCGGACATCCCAGGAGGATGAGGAGGTTTTTCAACAGAAGCACGTTCCAGCTCCCAGAACCCTCTTCAGAGACCGCTTCGAAATTAGAAAGCGTAAGTGTAACCATATCTGTCCATATGAGGTAGAGCACAGGCAAAGAAATTAGATTTATTTTCCAGATTCGAATCAAAATGTCTAAATAAGTAATGAAAATAATCCTTTCCAGACACTAGTAAAAAATATATTTTAATTGAATTGCAGTAAAAAAAATGGTAAAATTGTATACTTGTGTATACTTACACTTTCAATTAATATATATAAAACATTTTTTTTTTCATTACAGTAATGGGAAAATAATGTCAAAATGGGAAAATTTTTTTGCTTTTCTTTGTGCAAAATATAAATTGTCATCATTTTCTTTCGATTTTTGGAGTGAGGAATGGACTCACTCCATATTTCTTGACATTTAAAAAAAAAAAGATGTTTTATTTGTGTTTATGTCAGTTGTGTGTGTGATTTGTTTCAGAATTGATCTTTAATCTCCTTCTGAATCTTATTAGCTGTGCGGCTCTATCAGGGAGCTGATCGCGTGAAAGACCAGACGTTCTTTCTCAGTCAGATCTCCCAGGATGCTTTGCGGCACACACTGTTCCCCTTAGCTGGTCTAACCAAAGACTTTGTGAAGAAGATCGCTGCTGAGGCCAGCTTCCAGCATGTTCTTAAGAAAAAAGAGGTACTGTAATAACAGTATTCACTCATACAAGATCCAGGACCTCTGTCACTGGAGACTTGACATTCATTAGTGTTCGGTATAATAACTGTAATATAATCCACTGTATTAATGATTAATTGATACAAAAATGTCTGCTAAATGTACATGTAATTGTAAATGCAATTAATTAAATCCCCCCCCTTTTTTTTTTCCCGGAAGAGCATGGGAATCTGTTTCATTGGAGAAAGAGATTTTGAGACCTTTATTCTTGAGGTACGTTCTTTGATGCAGCTTAAAACTGTATGTTTAAGGAATTTATTGATGGCCTCTTGTTTTTTAAAGCACTTATTTTAAGAAAAATGGTAATCAACAACAATTTTTCTTTAATTTATAGAAAGTATTAGGTCAACAAATAACTAATTTGGTCCTAAATTATCTAGCCTTCACCTATAGCTTAATTTAGGCTAAATTTGCAACCCTGTTACCTATTCTGACCTATTATAACCCTGTTATATATTTTGTTTGTCTTTTCTTAGTAATTTTATTGAGCATTTATGTTTAAAAGATTTTTATCTGACATTTAAACTGTATTAAAAATGTTGTAACAGGGTTGCAAAAAAGGCTAATCTCTCGAAATTAAACCAATCCTGTCCTTCTAAGGTTATGAACAATATTTTCCACAAATTAAAACCCTCTTTTCACTGAAATCTTTTTAATTTTTTTGATTATTGCCATTATTCAATATATATATATATATATATATATATATATATATATATATATTACTACAGTTACCTAATATTGTACTTTTTCCCCATGTCAAATGTATTACAGTACTTGGAGCCCAAACCAGGAAACTTTGTTTCCATTGAAGATGGGAAGATCATGGGGCAGCATAAAGGTGAATATTAATTATGTTGGCTTGACAAACCAAAATACTGATCTACTATTTAAGCTTCTTTTTTTGTCTGAGACAAAGTTTTTAACAGTATATCTTCCTAGAGCTTTATAACTAAAACCAGCAAAAGTTGGTCAGACCTATCAGACTTTTCTGACTCGGGTTTCTATATCTTTTCTAATTGATCCGACTTTGGGAATTCCTGTATTGGACTTCGGACCATTACCAAATTCCCATAGACTTTTATTGTGCTAAATCATGCTAGAAACATGTTATTAGTGTGTTAAATCATGTTAGGAACATGTTACATCATGTTAGCAATGTGATAATCATGCTTGCGACATGCTAAATCATGTTAACAACGTGGTAAATTATGCTAGCAATGTGGTAAATTATGCTAGTAATGTGGTAAATTATGCTGGCAACATGTTAGCAATGTGTTAAATCATGTTAGGAACATGTTACATCATGTTAGGAATATGTTACATCATGCTAGCAATGTGACATCATGTTAGGAACATGTTACATCATGCTAGCAATGTGACAATCATGTTAGCAATGTGGTAAATTATGCTAGCAATATGGTAAACTATGCTAGCAATGTGGTAAATTATGCTGGCAACATGTTAGCAATGTGTTAAATCATGTTAGGAACATGTTACATCATGTTAGGAACATGTTACATCATGCTAGCAATGTGACAATCATGCTTGCGACATGCTAAATCATGTTAGCAACGTGGTAAATGATGCTAGCAATGTGGTAAACTATGCTAGCAATGTGCTAAATTATGCTGGCAACATGTTAGCAATGTGTTAAATCATGTTAGGAACATGTTACATCATGCTAGCAATGTGACAATCATGTTAGCAATGTGGTAAATTATGCTAGCAACGTGCTAAATCATGTTAGGAATACGGTAAAACATGCTAGCAACATTCATTCATGTTAGAAATATGCCTGCAACATCCTAAATAATGCTAAGACATGTTAGCAATTTGCTAAACATGTTAGAAATGTGCTAGAACATGTTAATAACATTTGATTGACTTCTTTGAGTAAAATCTTCAAATTTCAAGCTTTATTCTCCAACTGTAAGACAAGGCTTTGTCAAGCCAACATCAAAGTTTGCCAACATCAAACCTTACTCATCTAGTTTGTTGATGTTCTGCTACATAGTGTCTGTGATACTGCATGACTGATGCACACAATACTATATTTCACAGGCTGGTTCACATTAACACTGGGTCAGAGGGCGAGAATAGGAGGGCAAGTAGACCCTTGGTTTGTAGTTGATAAAGATATCACTACCGGTGATGTATTTGTGGTGAGTTACACAATTTGGATACTTCATAGTACATAGTTCATGAACATTTATTTTGCTAAAAAAGGACCAAATATGACTTTTCAGGTCGATCGCTTTGTAAAATATGGCGACTCTTGCAGGGTCCAACCACTAACCACCCAGCACTGTTACGAGACACATTACAGACAGACCGCTTCCATTGGATCGCCGAAGAGCCGCCCGTTGAACTTGTCCACACTCAGATGATGGAATGTCACTTCCGTTTCCACAACCGGATGCCTTTGAGTGAGTCGCCTTTTTTTGTTTACCCAGAATTATTCGAAAAAGGGTCGGTTGAAATGGTTATGTAAGTGCCGCCACACTACAACAACCAGCAGCCAATCATTTTCTCCGCTTTGTCTACAGAAGTGTTATTTTAGTATTATTTATACTACTTATTTATATTTTTTATTTTATTTTCATTTTAGTTTAAGTTTTAGTAATTTTTTATGTCCTATGTGGTCAATATTATTTGTTTTTGTTTTATTTCTATTTAGCTTTCATTTATTTGTACTTATTTATTATTTTTCAACTTTTTAGTTATCACAGTTTTAGTGATTATAGCATATATTTTAAGTTTAATCATCTATTATTATTATTTTTTTTTTCAATTAACAAAAAAAATTATATATTTTTTTTTTACAATTAGACAAAAACAGTGCTAATATAAACATATTTGTTTCTTTCAGCTCCATGCACCGTAACTTTGAATCTTGATGGGTCGGTGTGGGTAATGGTGAAAGAGCCATTGAGAGCAATGACACCTGGGCAGGTAATCCATAAATATCTACATCGTGGCACAATGAATCTTAACTTTCCAAATCATTTACTTTTGGTTTTGCTTTTACACTAGATAAAAAATAAAAAAAACACTTTAAAGTGCGCCTATTATGCTATTTTTAAGGTTCCTAATTTTGTTTGGAATGTTTCCTACAATCGGTTTACATGCACCTAAGGGTCAAAAAATGCATATTTTCTCTTAAAATACATTACCTAATTTCTCAAAGAGTCTGAAAATGGTTCATTCGAAGATTCAGTCTCTTTAAACCCCTCCTTTCTGAAAACCTTCTCTGCTCTGATTGGCCAACTGGCCCAGTCTGTTGTGATTTGGTCTAACACTGGAAACATAACGTCCATTACCTATCGTCCATTACTATCTGAATTTCAGCACTTGATACGAACAGTAACGATGGCGTCGTTTTTTTCCGTATCAATACCAGCGCGTGTCCTCATCCTTTTGAAATGCTCGCGAAGTGTATTCACATCACAGAAAACAGCGTCTTCTCGACATGTCAACAACATGATCCAAACTCTTCCAGGCCTCAGCTACAACTCAATGTTTGAGGGTCTGAGTAGAATTTGTTCACAAACATCCAATGAAGACCATATTGGCACTGGCATTATGCAAATGTTACATTGTTACAGGTCTGTAACAGGAAATGAGACCGAATTGCTGACGACTCGTTTCGGTAATTCGGAATCGATTCTTTCTTTTAGGAGAAAATCCATTTATTTGTGGTGCACTTTGATCTTTAAAACTTTGCAGAGCTTAGGACACAGTTAAAATAATGAACTGTATTGCTGTGTTCAAATCATGGAAAGGAAATTTGGGAATTTTGGATAGAGTATTATTGTTTATTTGAACTTCCACTCCATTGTCTTTGCTTTGCAGTTTGCTGTGCTGTATAAGGGAGATGAGTGTTTGGGCAGTGGGAAGATCATTCGTCTGGGACCCACAAAATTCACTCTTCAGAAAGGTCAAAACTGCATAAACTGCCAGCCTAAAGACACAAACCACCAACACCCAGAGCCCGTCAGCTGAGACACAGCAGGAAACCAGCACACCTCTCATCTCTTGTGGACAATAACAAGATCTCAACAGGCTTGTGCTGTGGAAAGATGCTCTCAGTATTTACAGACTGGGCGAAAATACAGAAACTTTGATAGAATTTTGAATATGTCATTTTTATTTCAATTGGAAATTGTAATTTATTTGTATAATATAAATACTTAATGCTTATATCGGATTACTTATTTATTTTTATTTTTTTATGTTAATGGTTTTAGTGCCTTTATTGTGCACCACACCCTGATCTATGCAATCTTAATGCAAAATGCAAATATTACGCCATGGTTACGACTGTTACGAGTTGTTTTCTCTGCCAATAGAGGGCGGAAGAGCAACATTTATAGCTGGTGCTGATGGACAAACACAATCTTCCTCGATTTTCATTAATTATGCTACACACAGAATACTAAATTAAACATAAATTAACATATTTAATCTATGTGTATAAAGGCAGACAATTGCAATATATTATAATATCTGTTGAGTCTTTTTGCTGTTTTAAAATAGGATTTAGAATAAATGATTGACCTCGACTAAATTATTGACCTTTTGATAATAATTTAAAGATTTTAAAAAAGAAACTTAGGCCTAATATATATATATATATATATATATATATATATATATATATATATATATATATATATATATATATATATATATATATATGTGTGTGTGTGTGTGTTTATGTATATACTGTATATATATAATACCATATGTTTGGGGTTTGGTCATGATTCCTCTTCGGTGAGTTTTTAAATGTCTGATATAACAATTCAACGAAATTGTGAAAGAGGACATTAAGTGTATTGTTTTAGAATTATAATTAGCATTTGTTGTAAATAAATGTTTGAAGAAATTAGTTTTCAAAGCAGAGTGATATTATTTTAGAAGAAATACATTTTTTTCGATATCCTTTGGAGTCATGTTTTCACGTTTAGGAGACACTAGATTGAATAAGCTGAAAGAAAAGAACCGTATTTGTACATATTACTATAAATGCACAATAAAATAAAATCAGATATAAGGCTATGAAAATACATTGCATACAAACAAATCACCCTCTAATATCTGCCATAGAACATTTGTAAATATATCTATTGCAGTATGTGTGTGAAAACCTAAAGTTTTCAATGACAAAAAAAAGTGGTTTGTCTTTCCTTTTTTTATAACTGGGTCATATGGATATTGTATTTAAAAAAAAAAAAAAAAAAAATGTCAAAAACATAATTTTTGTGATTTTTTTTTGTTTGTTTTTTTGCTCCAAACATTTTAATGTTTAAAAAGAAATTCTAAAACTTTTTTTAATGTCCCATGTGTAAGGATCTATGAGGGTTTTTAAATGTCTGATATTATCACTGCTTAATTATAATAACTGTATTGTGGCATGCTGGTGAAAACAATGGCTGGTTCTGTAATAGTTTGTATAGAGGATAAACAAGAGAATCCAGCATTGATAACTCTTTATTACTTAAGCCGCTTGTCCACTGAGTGATTTAAACACGTGGTGTGAATTCATGTCACTTTAGTAGACAAAAAGCAGAAAACTTTATATTAGTCTAAACTGCAAGCGAGCGAATCAACGGCGCAACCAACTAACATACAAACTATCCATTATAAATTGCATTGTAAACTGCGTTTATTTATAATGAAAGCATTCGCGTCCACAACATGTGGACAGTCGCGCATGAAACTGTTTAATCGCGAAACTTAATTTATTAGGCTATAATAGGATAGTTAGTTTGACGCGCCGCGTCGCTCGCTTAAGAAAAGTCGCAAAAGAACCAAGGAATATGCAGCGGTACATAACAATAGTTGAATTTCCATGAGAGTTATTCTTTAGTCCTGAGAGGAGGTGCAGTGCAGGTTTATGTTAATGACTGTGTGTGTGTGTGTGTGTGTGTGTGCGGGGGGGAGAGACGCGCACGCACGGAGCCATTTTGTTCTCATTTAAAACTTAACGTGGATAATGTCACTTGGCTCCATGGATACCAGCCTGACAAACTGTTTTTTCTGCTGTTAAAAAGCTACAATGAAGGATAAAAGAAGGTCGACGTGCCGGCAGAAGGAGAGCTGACGTGTTTTTTTTCTGCATGTTTTGTGGAGTTTTACACTATGGATTTAGTAATGCGTTGGTTATTATGGGTCCACCTTCTCCTCTGCGCTCCTCTCATGGGATGTTTTGACTTGCACCTCTCGGAGACTTTACATTCTGGAGCTGTTCTTGCCAATTTGTCACTTGGACCAGGTTGGACTTATAAAATAGACAGGACTTTAACTTCCAAGTACATTGGGAACTTTATTAAAGTGGATTGGAGAGATGGAGTAGTGCGTTTAAATGGAGAGGTGGACTGTGCGCGCGCCCATCAGTGCGCGCTGCCTCTTTATTTTAAAATGACATCATTAACAACTGAAGGACTAGTTAACGCACATTTTAATGTATTTGTACACGGACGCAATTGCGTGTTCAAATATAAAAGGAAGAGAGTGAGTAAGCCTGATGTTAACGTGGACTGCATTTATAACTTTGGACTAACTTCCTGCTTTTCTCCAGGTGATTTACTCCTTAATTTTAAGGATTATTTACCTGCCTTCACAAGACACTCTGGCGTTTTTGCTTCTTCTTGCACCTCAGACCACCTGAATGTGTTTTTGCGTAACGGGACTTTACTTGTGAAGGACGCGTACTGTTTGGAGACGGACTTGAGACGCTTTAAAAACACTATTCGCTGTTCGTTTCGCGATTCAAACGGTGAGCCCTTCTCTTTGTGCCTTACATTACGATTCTCCTCAATCCAAACTTCATTATTCAATTCTATGCAAGACGTATCAAATCAATGGAAACCGAGAATAAAGCGAGCAGTGGATTCAGCGCCTCAGTTTCAGTTATCGAGCTACCAGGTTTCAGTGCCCGAGAACCAGCCTGCGGGGACGCGCGTCATTACCGTCAAAGCGACTGACAGCGACCCTGGAGACGCGGGAAAGATCGAGTATGGCATGGAAGCAGTATTCGACACCCGTTCTAAGGACTTCTTTCGGATAGACCCTCAAACCGGCAGCATCGAGACTGTCCAGCCCTTAGATAGAGAAGTTAAAGAGACACACGTTTTTAAAGTCACAGCTACTGATAATGGCACGCCGCGACGCACAGCCACGTCATACCTGACCGTTACAGTAAGTGACACCAACGACCACGGACCCGTTTTTGAGCAGAATGAATATAGGGTTAGGATAAGAGAAAATATGGAAGTTGGTTTTGAGGTGATTACGGTGAGGGCGACAGATGGAGATGCACCATCCAATGCAAACATGATATATAAGATTGTGAATGGCGAAGATGTTAATTCCGGGTTTGAAATCGATTCCCGGAATGGACTGGTTAAGATTCGGTTGCGTCCAGACAGAGAAACCATGGCCCAGTATCAATTGATAGTAGAGGCCAATGACCAAGGAAAGGACCCTGGACCCCGCAGTGCTACTGCGACAGTGTACATCACAGTTGAAGATGAAAATGACAATTACCCTCAGTTTAGTGAGAAGAGATATGTAGTCCAGGTGCCGGAAAATGTGGCAATTAACACTAAAGTGGCCCAGGTTGAAGCCTCTGACCGAGACGAGGGCAATAATGGTAAGGTTCATTACAGTATAATCAGCGGCAACGTAAAAGGTCAGTTCTTCATTCACACCCCAACTGGAGCCATTGATGTCATCAATCCCCTGGACTACGAATTGATCAGAGAGTATAGTTTACGCATAAAGGCACAGGATGGAGGCAGGCCTCCTCTTATTAACGGCACCGGCATTGTTGTCATCCAAGTTGTGGATGTGAACGACAATGCTCCCAGGTTTGTAAGCACTCCTTTCCAAGCCACCGTTTTAGAGAACGTGCCCATTGGATATTCTGTGATTCACATTCAGGCCATTGATTCTGACTCCGGCGAAAACGCCCTTTTGGATTACCGCCTCACAGACACCACTCCAGGTTTCCCCTTCACCATCAATAACAGCACTGGATGGGTAACAGTCAGTACTGAGCTGGACAGGGAAACCACTGAGTATTACACCTTCGGAGTGGAAGCCAGAGACAATGGATTTCCGGTGATGTCGTCCTCAGCAAGCATTAGCATCACCATCCTAGATGTGAACGACAACATCCCTACGTTCACTGAGAAGGAGTACTCACTGAAAATCAATGAAGATGCGGTTGTAGGGTCTAGTGTGTTAACTGTCACAGCTCTGGACCGTGATGTAAACAGTGTGGTCACCTATCAGATCTCCAGTGGTAACACGCGGAACCGGTTTGCCATCACTAGTCAAAGTGGAGCTGGACTAATCACGCTGGCGTATCCGTTAGATTACAAAAAGGAACGGCAGTACGTTCTGACTGTCACCGCCTCTGACGGTACACGCTTTGACACCGTACAGGTGTTCATCAACGTAACTGATGCTAACACTCACAGACCCGTGTTCCAGAGCGCCAGCTACCATCAGACCTTCAGCGAGGACCAACCCATTGGATCAACTGTTGTGGTAATCAGTGCAACGGATGAGGACACAGGTGAGAATGCACGCATTACCTACATCATGGAGGACAACGTACCACAGTTTAAGATTGATCCGGACACAGGTGCCATCACCACACAGATGGAGATCGACTATGAAGATCTAGCCTCCTACACACTCGTCATCATTGCCCGTGACAATGGAATCCCACAGAAGTCTGATACCACGTATGTGGAAATTATCGTTCTGGACGCCAATGATAACACTCCACAGTTTGGGAGGGACAAATACCAGGGTTCCGTGTTGGAAGATGCTTCTCTGATGACCAGCGTGCTCCAGATATCTGCTTCCGACAGGGACTCGGGGTCTAACGGACGTGTGAGCTACACCTTTCAAGGAGGTGACGATGGGGAAGGAGACTTCATGATTGAGACGTACTCTGGAATTATCCGAATCAACCGGAAGCTGGACAGAGAGAACATTCCAGTCTATAACCTGAAGGCCTTTGCTGTAGATAAAGGTGTTCCTCCTCTCAAAGCAGCAGTGGAGATCCAGATTTCTGTGTTGGACACCAATGACAATGCTCCTGTTTTTGAGAAGAATGAACTGTTCATCGACGTCAA